ACCTTATTTACGGAGTCTTTTTGTTGGTTTTTTGCAGAGTCTGTTTGTCTTTACCGCATGTTATAACCGGAAGCGGAAGTCACACAGACTTTCTGAGCTCAAACTCAATTTAAACTTTTTTAACAAATAAAAAACTGAAAAGTAGGGCGTGCAATATTATTCGGCCCCCTTGCACTAATACTTTGTAGCGCCACCTTTTGCTGCAATTACAGCTGCAAGTCGCTTGGGGTATGTCTCTATCAGTTTTGCACATCGAGAGACTGGAATTCTTGCCCATTCTTCCTTGCAAAACAGCTCGAGCTCAGTGAGGTTGGATGGAGAGCGTTTGTGAACAGCAGTCTTCAGCTCTTTCCACAGATTCTCGATTGGATTCAGGTCTGGACTTTGACTTGGCCATTCTAACACCTGGATACGTCTATTTGTGAACCATTCCATTGTAGATTTGACTTTATGTTTTGGATCATTGTCCTATTGGAAGATAAATCTCCGTCCCAGTCTCAGGTCTTTTGCAGACTCCGACAGGTTTTCTTCCAGAATGGTCCTGTATTTGGCTTCATCCATCTTCCCATCAATTTTAGCCATCTTCCCTGTCCCTGCTGAAGAAAAGCAGGCCCAAACCATAATGCTGCCACCACCACCATGTTTGAAAGGGGCGAGGGTGTGTTCAGGGTGATGAACTGTGTTGCTTATACCCGAAACATATCGTTTTGCATTGTGGCCAGAGCACCTTCTTCCATATGTTTGGTGTGTCTCCCAGGTGGCTTGTGGCAAACTTTAAACGAGACTTTTTATGGATATCTTTGAGAAGTGGCTTTCTTCTTGCCACTCTTCCATAAAGGCCGGATTTGTGCAGTGCACGACTTATTATTGTCGTATGGACAGACTCTCCCACCTCAGCTGTAGTTATCTGCAGTTCATCCAGAGTGATCATGGGCCTCTTGGCTGCATCTCTGATCAGTCTTCTCCTTGTTTGAGATGAAAGTTTGGAGGGACGGCCGGGTCTTGGTAGATTTGCAGTGGTCTTATACTCCTTCCATTTCAATATAATTGCTTGCACAGTGCTCCTTGAGATATTTAAAGCTTGGGAAATCTTTTTGTATCCAAATCCGGCTTTAAACTTCTCCACAACAGTATCTCGGACCTGCCTGGTGTGTTCCTTTGTCTTTATGGTTCTCTCTGCGCTTTAAACAGAACCCTGAGACTATCAAAGAGCAGGTGCATTTATACGGAGACTTGATTACACACAGGTGCATTCTATTTATCATCATTAGTCATTTAGGACAACATTGGATCATTCAAAGATCCTCACTGAACTTCTGGACTGAGTTTGCTGCACTGAAAGTAAAGGGGCCGAATAATATTGCACGCCCCACTTTTCAATTTTTTATTTGTTAAAAAAGTTTAAATTATCCAATAAATTTCGTTCCACTTCACGATTGTGTCCCACTTGTTGCTGATTCATGACAAAACGTAAAATTGTATATCTTTATGTTTGAAGCCTGAAATGTGGCTAAATGTTGAAAGGTTCAAGGGGGCCGAATACTTTCGCAAGGCACTGTAGCTCCAGGCTGCCCCCCCCTGTCCCAGAAATGGATTAAAGGTGAATGGATAATATAGCTCCATCACAGGGTTAAATGCAAATTTTGCTGTAGAATAGAAAGTCTTGGGTTAGATGTAGGACTAGGCAATTATCATTAATTTTTTATCAAATATAAAATAATTGGTATGACATTAATTAAATATCCAAAATATTTAGCGCAATTTATCATCACATTGTGTTATTGTGAGCTTGTGTTCTGTTTGAATGAAGTCTGAAATGTGCTTGGAGTGGAGTGGCGCAGTAATGTAATTCTGCCAGAGGAAGGCGCTTGTTGTTCTGTAGTATTTGGCCTTTCTCCTCCTTACAGGTAGCCCATTTTCTTCTTCCGGGTGGATCATCCAGGCTATTGACTCCTTGCATGTGACGTCCCGGCAGGGCTGGACTGGGACAAAAAAACGGCCCGGGCATTTTTTCCTTTTTAGCGGCCCAGGCTACTCAAAAGGTTCAATTAGCCATATTTGACAAAAAAACAAAAAAAACCAGCGTTGTATAAGGCTTATATGAAGGTAACAGGGGCTGAAGCTGTATTAGCTACATTAGCTACATTAGCTACCTTAGCTACATTAGCTACATTAGCTACCTTAGCTACATTAGCTAAATTAGCTATATTAGCTATATTAGCTATATTAGCCTAATATCTAAATGACAAAGTAAAGGCCACAAACACATAAAAACCATTCATAATTATCAAATGTGTATTTTCACTGCAGCGTGTCCTGGAGAGAATGACGCACCACGTGACAACTCTGCTTTAAGTTTAACTTCCATTTTTTTGCCTTCATGCAATTGTACAAATACAGTAAATACATCTGCTTTTTGACTCAGAGTTCACCTGCATCACTGTCTGTTCATATCCATCACAGGCTGAAGTTTGCTGGAGCTGAATGTCCTTAATGGCCTTTTCTTTAACCGTCTTTGCGAAGGTATTTGAAGTCTGAAAATAGGTTCTCTGACTTTATGATGAATGAATCTTTCAGTGAACAGTGTTTAAAGCTTCATTGTTCCTCCTGTTGCAACAAAACCTTTCATTACATCGCAAACATGAAGCAGTCCTTCCTCATTGACTGAAAGCAAATGTTCATTCTCATTCTCAGTCCAGTCTTATCGACTCTCTCTCTTTATCTTTGGGATCCATGCACACACACAGTCTATGATGCACACACACCGGTTTGTTTACAGCAGCAGCCGCCTGGCACGGGCCGCGTCACAGGATATGACGCACTACGTTGACAGAAATGCTAAAATTGAACATTACTTATACAAGTTTTTGCAGCATTGAAAAACTTTAAGAATGTTTTTCCTCCTACAGAAACCACATTAAAACTAGAAATAAAATATAGCCCTCACACTCCATTTTCAGACATTTTTGAAAAGGCTCCAGGAGCCACTTTAGGGGCACTAAAGGTTGCCGACCCCTGGTTTATACAGTATGTGGAAGCACATACTGTAGAGGATCAGGATGTCTGCAGTTTCAACAATAAAATAAAGTACAATAGTTTACATTAAACAGAGTAATAAACATGTCTCAGAGTGAGGGAGGGCACAGACAACACTATTGTTTGTTACAGGGATGAGAATTGGTAAACATTTCTGAAATGCATATTGTCAGCCATTTGCTGGCTCTAAATCTGTTTAATCTGTTCACAACATTTTACTTTTGGGCTCAAACATGAACCTTTAATGCAATGGAAAATTTAGGTACCCGAGCTTTAATTTAGTCGCACTTCGAGAGGAGAGGGGAGACGCGGACTGTTTCCTGCAGCGGTGTATTTATTGGGTGCAAAAATTACGCAAAGACACACGTTTATGGTCTTGGGTACATGGCCACGTTGAGGCTACGCGCTCACCGTGTTGTGTTGTGAGCGGTTCCCGCGTCCAGCTCAGAGCCGCTGGATGCCGGAACACTGCGGCCGCTGAGGTGGTGGAATCCCGTTCGAGTACATACAGCAGGTGCCCCGCGGACACGCGCGCCCCCTCGAACAGTTCTCAATGGATTTACACTTTTCACAAAATTTTTTTTTGTATGAGGCAGACAGACCGGCCCAAATATGGGCATCGGCCCTTCGGGCATTGCCCGGTACGCCCGATGGCCAGTCCAGCCCTGCGTCCCGGCCACGCCCACTCTCCATGACAGACGGCGGAAGTCTAACTGCGAGCCTTCGGAAACTTTACCAAAACAACCTGTTTCACTGAATAACAGCCAAAACTGTGATATTTGGCAGTGCGGGTGGTTGTACTAACAGACAAGGACATAAGCCAAATGTGTCTATTTATCTGATACCTGCTCGTTATGAAGACAGAGGACGACGATGGCGGCAATCAACCAAAAGGACTGGGAGCCAGTCAAGTACTCCCTAATATGCAGTGAACACTTTTTACAAGATAAATCAATCACAATTTTGTATTTTTTCTCTTTCCATTAATTTATTGGGAGGACAATGACACAACAAACGCTTGAAGTCAAACGTGTGCTCTTACTACTGTCCTGTATGTGCGCGGCAAGATTGAAATTTCCTCACTGTGGCACAAATGAAAGATCTCTTATCTTATCTTAGACGTCAGTTGCGTTTTTCACTGTTTTCCTCTCTGTCAATATCAGTATCAATCAGTATCATGTTTGGCTGTAGACAGAAAAGTGCATTGCTAATGTGCTAATGCTACAAGCAAAATGTGCATATAAATCTGCTCCAGTGTTAACGACATAATGATAAAAATCATGTGGGGTGAACTCGGGCAAAATTGGACATGCCATTTAATCGATAAAATTGACTGTGGGGAGAAGGTACGGGTCAACATCCAGCTCAGCAATCCCTAACTTCTCCAAATACTGCTCTTTGTCAGCCCTGACAAGATGTCCTACTTTCACCGAAAACGTAATCGAACATGTGCTTGAAGAAGCCACGTCTAGATTTAGGAGACGAAGCTCAGTTTTTAAGAGTTGTAGTCCGTTTTGCTCTCTCCGCAATGCTAGTTTCCACTACTTCCGCCGTAAGCTCCTTCACAATCACGTGACTGGATGATGTCGATGCATCTGGTCAATTGGTCTTCCTAATTGTCAATCATTCTATGTGAGGTAAGTGTCATGGTGTAAATTTTTAGTTATTTTAGTATGTTTTAATTTAATTTCAATTCTGTGGGTTTGTTTGAGTTTGACTCTCTGTTCCCCTGTGTTGATTGTCTGCCCTGCCCGAATGTGTTTCACCTATGTCTCCCCTTGTTGTCCATTGTGTCGAAAATAAAGTCAAAATAAGCCCATTTTTGGGATGACCTACAGTCTTTTGATGGTTCTAATTAGTCTTGATGAAAACTTGATATGTGTAGTCTGTGTTTGATAAGTGAAGCCTGTAATAGCTTTGCGTGTGCTACAGTATCATGCATACTGTCCATGGTAGGAACTGACTTGATGGCCTTGAGTCTCTGCGGCAGGGGGCTCTGAGTGGCTGAGTTCTTGCTGAGGAGGAAGTCACGGGGGCTCTCTGTCTTGGCCCCCAGGTTTGGGCTCAAGGGGATGAGGGCAGGGCTTATGAGGCGTTCCTGGATGTCGCACTTTATACACACTGAAACAAGAGACAGCACACACCTTTACACCTAAAGCTATGGATAATGAACATTCTCAGACAAATCATACTTTAGTTTAGTTGTTTGGACATGATGTTTGTGTATAAATCATAGGACTTTTTCACAATTACGGAATGCCTCAGAAGCCGAGTGTGACTCTTAACAAATCATTTAAGGGCCATCTGGCTTCAGTTTGGGGTGTCGCAAATAAAGTCAGTATAAGCCCAGAGATGGATAGTGAATTCATTTCGGAATTTTTTTTTACTTCCAGAATAGCAAAATGGGCAGAGCCTTTACAGCTTCACAACGTGGAGCCTTATGTGTTATTGTATCGATATTACAGACACCTCTCTTTTTTAAATAATCTGGTGACCATGACCAACCGTGACACGTGAGAACAAGTGACAACAACAATGTATTTTTGTTTACAAAATGTGGAAAATAAATATTAATAATACTTGTGTATTGCCCAATGATCCCAGGAATAAGGGTTACCTGGTGTGTCCCCCATACTGGGCAGCAGCAGGTGCAGGTGCTCCCGGTCTCCTCCCTGCTCATGGAGCCAGCTCTTCAAGACGTTCTCCAGAGCAAACACACTACTGTCCACCTGCTGCAGCTCCACCTCTGCTCCCAGCATGTACTGATCTGCACACAAGACACATACCAAGTCTGTGCAATGGGAATTAAAAGAAGAAGTTTTTCTTTGAAAGACCATGAGAGTGAGCGTCCAGGGTCAATTAAATATTAACACTGTATATGTTTAGTTGACCTCACTGACAAGACAAAATCATATGTCTGGTGTCTTCACTTGGTATGGTTCTATATTTTCTTTTATGTTAATGAAACTTGAATCATGTGTGCCTATATGCACTGACCATCCCGCTCTACTCATGTTATCGCACAATGTTTGGCCACTGCCCGTATGGTTTGTGCGCATTTCCAGGCAAAGAAATTAATGGAATTCTGTGTTTTCTTTTCCATTAAACTAGTCAAGGTCCTTCCTGAGCCTGGGTCTTCACTATTTGGAAGTGACTAGTGATTACAGATTGTGTTACACCAGCAGATGGCAGCAGAATGTTACATTTCACAGAAGGTTACATTTCAACACCACTTAGCATGAGCAGAGCAACACATTTCCACACTCCCATAATTGTCTTTTTGCTGTTTTAGGCACTGGAAAAAAAAAGCAAATTATTCCTTCCACTTTGAGATCAAAAGAAGAATTAGTGTTGTATGAAAGGATGTGCTTGTGAAGGCTATTTTTGTTTTGTTCTGTTATAATTAATGTCACTTGACTTGTATCTCTTTTATATATTTAATATTGATTAGAATTGATGATGCCGACACTGGAAAAGTTGTTGGATTGAGGATTGCTTTTATGATATTGGTTAAACTTAATATCCTTTCACTTGAAGTAACACTATTTACTGACTGATATTAATCCAGAATGTCATACAGTTTTTCCTTTGTTATATAAGTCAAAGTTGTTTTGTAGCTATCCGACTAGACAAATAACAGTTCAGATCATAAGTACCTTTACAAAGTAAAAACGTATCTAATTGGTTCAGCTGACCATGGATATATCCAGGGGTGCACATAACTTTTTCAGTGAGGTACTCAGATGAGTACCAGGACATGGTGTTTGGTACTCATTTGTCGCGCGGTTCTTAATCGAGATTTTATGCTTGCTTCTTTTTAATGCTGAAATTCAACGTCTACAAAATGATTGATATCTCGGTCTCTAGCAGATAGAAACATAATTTCATGAGAATCTGAGAGCTGACACTTGTCAATAAAACTGCAGTGTATTATTATAATCCTTCAGTAGAATAATACAAAAATATACAACTTCCACACAGGAAAGGTAATAAAACAACCAATAATAATGTGGGACTAACACATCTTTCTCAATACAATAAGTCAAAAAAAGTTTGGCAATTAAGTGGCACTAACTATGTGGAAAAAAATATTGAAAAAAATCCACTCTCTGCCCAAAAAGTCAAATAATGACTCACAGGGCTCTTTCTTAAGTAAGTAAAATAAAAAAAGAAGACTGTTTTGGTTTGTTCTGTTTGATTTGGTCAACAAAAGTTTACTTCTGTGCACAAATAACATGCATTTTCAATGCAAGCGAAAATGTAGGTACCTGGGCTTTAATTCAGTGAGTTTTGGCTGCGCCTCGTGTGGAGACTTGGGGGAGACGTGGGAGAGGCATAGGGGGGGAGACGGGGAAGAGACGGGGAAGAAACTGCGGAGAGGCATGGGGGAGAGACGGGGGAGACAGGCAAGACCCGCATGTGCAATGTGCACGTAACGCGCACGTGTGTATGGTTCTCTAGGCGCGTCTATGGTCCGCGCTCGGTACATGACCACGCGCGTCTATGGTCCGCCCTCGGTACATGACCACGCGCGTCTATGGTCCGCGCTCCGTACATGAATGACCACGGGTCTCCCAGGGTCCCACTATTTGAGAAGGACTGGTCCATGTGAAGTACGCAAAAGCACTTGCTAACTCAAGTGATAGCACGCATTTCTGATATCAACCAAAGTATTAGTCAGCAATTTACCATACTATTCCCCCTAACAGTACCCACCAGGATAGGGCCTCGTGGGTACTGTGATGTGAGAATTCAAACTGTGTGTCCTTAGGCGCTTCAACCACACTGCCTATAAGTCTGGTGAGTGAGTGAATGATGATAGTTGGAGGGGATAATGGCACAGATCAGTTGCTAGGACCCATTGCTACCTCGATTGGGGTCATTTCAGTCCCTTCACTGATATCGATTCATTCTCCTATCACATAGTCGGCATCAACATTTAAATTTATAAATACAGTGCCCTCCTCTGGCCACCAACCTCTAAAGGCCTTGTCCTTGTAACGAAATGTGTCCCACCCTGTAATGCCTTTGTCAGAAGCAGCAGTCGCAGCATTGCAGTCTGCTCAGGGAACCCTGCACCTCTAGACCCATCTGCACCCGGAGGAAAGCCAACCCGACACAAACATACCATAAAACTCCACACAGAAAGAGTGGACATGGATCTCAGAATCAATCTTAGAACATCCAAGACGAGAAAAACTTCTATAACATAGACAGAAGTCAATTTTAAACAGCATAAGATTGTAGAGATAATGGCTCGATTGCTAACATGAGGATTGCATTATTGAAGGTTATCTTTCCTCCTCTTCGTGTCTGAATAGTTATTGCCCCATCAGGACTCTCTAATGGGTCTAAGGGGAGCAGAATCGTAAAGCGCTCACGTCATAATGCATTTTTAAACTCATTTTTCAGCAGGGGAAGTCCAGCTCTACAGTATGTGATTCAGGGTTTAAAAGCATATAAAATGATGTAGGCGATTAAAAGAAATAGTAATAGAAAGGTTCTTTTTGTCTTAGTAGATGCATGCAAGTTACATATAGTAATACGTGTTTTTATTTTCCCTGTAGGTACATTTTTTCCTCTGCATTTCACCCATCCAATGCCACCAATACCACAGAGGAATTAGTGCTACCCACTAAGCCAAATACATTCCCAGGTCTATTTTTAATAAAGGAACAATGCTTTGAACATTGCTTTGTGTAAGAATTCTTGTTTATATGATTATATGTTTTCTATTTAAGAATTTAAACAAAATATTCAAAAACAACTGTCACAGTTTGGACTCTTTTGCCTTTGTCCTGCTCTCCTCTCTTTGTGTGTGTGTGTGTGTGTGTCTCCACCTTCCTGGGCGTGGCGGCTCCAGAGTGAAGTGCAGCACAGCAGGCTACAATCAATAACAATCTACACCAATTCAAAAACGATGGTTTTCCAGCAGGACACTGACTGTTTGTGACACTCATTTGGCTCCTGTTTATTGTGAATAAGAATCTTTTGTACTTATCTCAATTTTTTGTCCAGTAACCATCCTGCCTGTCAGTCTGGTATATATCTGATTATTTCTCTGCCAACCACCCTACCTACAAATTACCACTCTCTCCACAATAGTACCCTGGTCTGCCTCCGTCCGTCTCCTGGTCACCTGCCATATTGGATCCTCATTCCTTTTTCCAATAAACAGTTTTTTGTTTGTTCTCTGCATTTAGTATTTCTTCACAGTACAAATTGGCCACCATTGGCCACAGTGGAATCTCACCCGGACAGAGTCATCCGAGCAATCTCTACTCAAGATCCACTTCTTAAAGCGCTAATCCAGAGCCGGCAAACCACTGCTAATCAGATGGAGGAACTCAATACCATGCTACAGCGGCTTACAGCCAATCTCTCTGAAGCTCCTACTCCAGCTCAACCAGCTCCTCTACCTGTTCAGCAAACCAGTGAAGGACCTGTACCTGATCCTGAACATTACTAGGCAAGGCAAGGCGAGTTTATTTGTATAGCACAATTCATACACAAGGCAACTCAAAGTGCTGAACAAAAATAAGAAAGCATTAAAATCATAAATAATCACAGTACATTAAAAAGAAGATAAAAATATAAAATATACAATCCCTCAGTGGTATGGACAGCTAAACAGAACTGTTTTTAACCTGGTTTTAAACACTGTCAGAGAGGAGGCCTGTCTCACATCTTCAGGAAGATTGTTCCAGATTTTTGCGGCATGAATCTGAAAAGCAGCCTCCCCATGTTTAGTTCTGACTCTGGGCAATAACAGGCTCCTCAGAGTCCCGGCTGGTTCATATGGGACTAACATGTCACTAATATATTTTGGTGCGAGGCCATGGAGAGACTTGTACACAAGCAGAGCTGTTTTAAAGTCTATTCTCTGAGCCACAGGAAGCCAGTGCAGAGACCTGAGGACCGGACTAATGTGGTCGTACTTCCTGGTTCTAGTCAGGACTCGAGCTGCTGCATTTTGAATGTACTGCAGCTGTTTTACAGCCTGTTTGGACAGACCTGTGAGCAGGCCATTGCAGTAGTCTAACCTACTGGAGACAAATGCATGGATAAGAATCTCCAAGTCTGCTTTAGACACTATGTTTTTGATCCTGGCGATGCTTTTTAGGTGGTAAAAAGCTGCTGATGTTACTGATTTAATGTGGCTATAAAAATTTAAGTCTGAGTCCAGTATTACCCCTAGATTTCTGACCTTGTGTGAAGGTTTTAGGGAGAGGGACTGGAGGTGACAGATGACGCTCTCTCTTTGTTTCTGGGGACCAAAGACAATCATTTCAGTTTTGTCTGCGTTTAGCTGAAGGAAGTTGTTTTGCATCCACTCACTGATCTGTTGGATACAGTGAAGGAGTGAATACACTGGTCCATGTTCTCCTGCAGTCAGTGAGACATAGATCTGAGTGTCGTCTGCATAGTTGTGATAGGACACTTCGTTTCTGCGTATTAACTGACCTAACGGCAGCATGTAGAGATTGAACAGAAGAGGCCCCAGGATCGACCCCTGTGGTACTCCACAGGTCAGGGCCATATGATCTGAGACACAGTTTCCAATATCCACAAAGTACTTCCTGTCTTCAAGGTAAGACCTAAACCAACTTAAGGCGGTGCCAGCGTCACCAACCCAGTCCTCTAGTCTCTGTAAGAGGATTTCATGGTCGACAGTGTCAAAAGCTGAATTTAGATCTAACAGGATTAGGATTGAGACTTTGCCTGCGTCAGTGTTCAGCCGGATATCGTTTGTTACCTT